TGATTTATGGACTTATCTTATCTCTCTGAGCTTTCAAGATGTTATCTTTAGCTAGCACATGCTGGTTTACAAACTGATATAAGCTTCCAGGGGAGGAGCCTCATCTGCACAGATAAAACATGCAGGAAAGTGGACAAGTCTAAAATCGCAGGGGTTCCAGAACCACAAGAAGTGTCCATCAGAAAGTTGTAACTGATAAGCTCTGCTATATCTTTTCAGAATGTGTGAAGTGTCTGGTGGTGGTTACAATTTACAATAGACACTTTTTTCTGAGGAACTGCCACAGTATTAGAAGAAGAGCAAGGTCAAATTTGCACTTAATGTATACCATATGCAGGCACCTACCTGGTAAAGTGTAGGTCTTCCTTCCAGATCTCACAGGAGACCAATTAAACCTGGAATACTGGTACTCTACCTGCTGGTAACCTACTGAAGGTGGCGTTAGGTTGCAGAGAAAGCCAGGGAGCGGGCTTTTTAGACTGTTGTGTTACCCAGGTTTGAAACTTGATGCTAGAATTTAATAGGTTCAGTGAAAAAAAAGTCTGCCCCAAGCTGAAGCATCTGTCTGCAGTAGCTGAAACACTTATCAAATCAATGAAATAACATCTGTGACATTATTGTGTTGATTATTTTGAGGACACATTGAAACGCAGTTAGTTGTGTTTTCCAAATCTTGAATTGTTGCTGTTATCCAAATGTAAACAAACAAAGGTTGACCATCACAGTGAGTGGGGGTGATGAAGATGCAGGGGATGTGGTTGTAAGGTTTACCTCACTCTTGTCAGGCTGAGCCCAGCTTCACCAAAACAACACATGCCACACAGATTACACCAGATGACTAACCCAGATTATTTTGGACCATTTCCATATGTTCAACAAACTGAGATACAGTCCTGAAGATAGGATATAAACAGTAAAGAGTCTTGACAGGCTGATGGTAGATTTTATATGAGAGATTCACAGTGAACAGTAGCCTAACCCACATAGCAGAGTCAGCCTAGTCATCAGGATTGTATCTCAAGTTGTCAAGACCCAGCCAGAGAGGTATGGCAGGATGTAAACCTTCCAGGCTGAAATTCCTTGGAAATGGTACAATTTCTCCCACACTGTTTATCTTCTGGAGAGGCCCATGCCTGTCTGCTTTGATCACAGCCTTCCTTGTTTGTCTTGGCTCTGCTCTGCAGGGAGGAAAGTTGTGGAACATGTGTGTTCAACCCCTGCCAAAACAGAATTCTCAGCAACTGTTGGGGATTTTAGGTGTAGAGTTTTGGATGAAGTTTCTGTGCTGTGGGTTAGCATTCATTTTTGTGAGAGAAAAAAGCTGGTATTGATAAGGTTAAAGGTCATCTTTGATACATAGGCAAGACAGAGGGTATACATGGTACAGTATTTGAGATGTTTACAGTAAAGGGAGTATTTTAGGAATTTCTGTGAAGTGATTCTGACAAATGTTGTAGAAGTTATGCTGTTGCAGTGGGTCAGCATCTAAGGTGGATAGAGCATTGATCAAAACTGATCTTGGTATGGCAGAATATATGATTACACTTACAGACTCATGGACATCTGCTTTGTAATTTGGCTGGCTCAGTCAGGATCAAAAAAGACTACATTTTACTCTTCTTACATTTTTCAAATAATTCAGAATTTTTTGTGTAAGCAGCTGTCAGAACCTATTTCCACAATTGCTTCATCCTCAGACAGGACTGAAGCCATGAAGAATTGAATTAATCACCAGTCACAGAAATTAGTGCCTTATATGTCCAGAGGGATGGTCACATGATCAAGCATGTTAAATGGCTGGTGCACTTGGGCTTGGTTCTGACATACAACAGGGATACTAACATAGAGCACTATCTGTATTGTACCCTTGAGTGCTGGTAAACTATAGGCCAGGGGGTCACTGTCAGCCGGCATTCCCCACAGATCGCCCAGTAGCTAAGCCACACACACAAGGTCTTTGTAGTGGAGAAATTTGTTTTTGCTAGCAGCAGCCAAGACACATACTCTCCAAGCAGAGGTTTGGGTTTTGGGGGTATTTTTAGCGTGTTTTTAGGCTTTTTTATCGGGGTTTCTCTTTTGCACTGAATTTTTTTCCCCACCAAACCCAACCTCTGCCGGCACTCACCTCGGGGAGGGGCAAACCTATTCAAAACAGGCGATAGTGCCCCTCCCCGGGAACCATCAAACTGTCATTAAGGATATCCATTTTATTGTGGTGGATTATCACACTTCTAGGCAGTCGGAAAGGCATTCATTGGGCCACACGCCTCCTGCTGACTGTGCCTATTCATGCGTCTGGTTCACACCTCCTTGCAGAACGACTGAAATGTGTTGAAATGATTAGGTTTATAGCCCATTGAAGTTTTCGACTGCCGGCAGAGGTTGGGTTTGGTGGGAAAAAAAATTCAGTGCAAAAGAGAAACCCCGATAAAAAAGCCTAAAAACACGCTAAAAATACCCCCAAAACCCAAACCTCTGCTTGGAGAGTACAAGACACAGGCCTACATTGAGGGTGAAGGGAACAGAGTGTGACATGCATGTGTTATGTTCTGTACTGTAAGTCCCACCTGTGGCTACAAATGTATAACTTGTTGTAGCATACAAGTATGCATAATAAAGAGCAGTCTTTCCCCTCGTTTGGTATAGATTGAAATAAGAGCAAAATGCTATTCTGTTATATTGTTCAATTTGTTGTGTTTCTCCATGGTTTAATAAATTCCATAGAACATCTGCTCAGGAAGTTCAGATTCAGATGATTCAGACAGAATTTGACACTTTGCTGCAAAAAGGCCAAACTCTATCAGCTCTACACCCACACACTACTGTACACCCACACACACTCTCAGTTACAGTCAGTACAAATGCATAGTTGGAGATACATGTATCAAATTTTCAGAAGCTTTGGGAAAAGTAATCCATTAGTAAGCAGAATCAAAGGTAGGTGACAGTATGTTATTTTATGTTCTTCAGATCTTACTTATTATGTCGTTCTGATATATAAAGAACTGTACCAACTGTACACTTAGTAAGAAAATAGAAATACCACGAGCATGTCCTCTGTTAAGTAAGTTTTCTAGGCTAGCATACTTGTATGTAATGTATCATTCTCAATCTTTTTTTGTATAGTTCACCTTCTAGAAGAGATTTGCTTTTAGTCAGTTGCTCTATAACAGTACACCTTTCAAACCAGAAAGTAAAGAATGCTTTTTATCATTTTCCTTGTCTCGGCTGGTTCTAGGTTTTAGTTAGATGTAAACATGGACAGGTTAGGATCTCAACTTCAACTTCTCACCTGGGCAGCAGGATTTGATTGACAGCTACATGTACTAGTATGTTGGACAACAACAATGTTGTGCTCTAGACCAGACATAACAATTCAGGTGTTCACCGATGTGTAGCATGAATGGTCTGAAGGCCTATATACACGCATGAAGCATGAAAAATGGGAAAAGACAGGTATGATGTGATGTGCATGTTGTTTTTTTGGATGCTTGCACATCTGTGTGTCACAGTGTATGTGTTGACATTTTACATAGACATTCAATATGGGATTTTCTCTTGAGTCATCGTGAGGACCTGGGCAAATAAAGGCTGGTGCCGTAGTGGGGATACATTTTTTTGATACCCTACACTTGCCCATGTTCTTACGATTACCGGTACATCAATATTTTGTTTGATTAATCCACAAAATCCTTCATATCTAATACAAATGTGGGGTAAAAAACAAGATTGTGAGACAGTTGTGGCTAGATTTTGAGGAAAATGAAATACAGTTGAAATGTGACAACTACAGATTTAGCCATAATACCATCTCTTGAAATGCATGACCCAGAAAAGGAAAAGTCAGCACACTCCAGCATGGTGCCTGAAACAGCATGTTCAAGTGGATGGATGACAACTGCACTGAATTTTTGTTTAGTGGCTAACCTGTTTATTCCAATCTGCTGGCAGGACAAGGGTGGTGGTGTATCCGTCTATTTTCATCCAGATCGAGTGATAAGAGGAGTGGAAATGTACAATTGTATTTGCAAGCCCCTCCCATATGATGAAGCTAGTTTGGAATGATCCGCCCACATTGTGAATGTGACAAGAACCAATCATGACAAGCTATGAAGTCCTACACATGTACATGTATTTGCATCCCAAATTTTATTTCAGTGTTTCAAATTGTAGTGATGAATCACATTTGGCAATGTAAATCACTCTTAAACCAATCCATTTCAATGTCAAGAGCCTATTTTTTCCTTGTGTTCCTTATGCTATAACAACATAGCATTGTAGATTTGTATCATATCCCCCCAAAACTGCTTATCTACCATTAGAATGCAAAATGTCTAAGATTATCAATATTGTTAAAGGATCCGGGTGACACGTCCTATAAGTATGATGCAACATAAATTCTAGTTAGCTTTGCAGAATGGCATTTCTTGCATGAAGCACACATGCTCCACCCACAGACTCATGATTGACAGCGAGGGCTGTTTTCGTGTGCCTCATTTTGTCATGGCCAAAACTATTCTGACGAGCTAGCCAGCCATTCTGGCATCTGGGAGTGGAGTAGAGTGGAGGAAGTTGTAGCCAGCTCTCTCATCATTCGCAAAGTTATAGCTTTCAGCCTTCAGACTAAACATTTGTACCTCTTCTAGACCAGTAAGTATCAGAGAAGTTTGTTGTAATGTATATTTACATACAAGGTTATGTGGTTTAAAACCACTTTAATGAGTCCATCGGGTGAGCCGGCAGGGTTGTTTTGAAATCAGGAAACAGAAGACTTACAGCAGTAATCCAAGTGTGTATATTTAACCTTGGTGTCCATAGAAACGACATAACTTGTACGTATATGCTGTGGCCATATACTCACTGGGACTTTACTGCTCAGGAAGGAGCACTCAAGCGTGTTCAACATTCATCCTGAGCTTCACAGACTTGTTATTGAAGCTCAGCAGGTAAAACGTTCTGCCTGCCAAGTTGTATAATGTGAGCGTTTTCTCTCTCCACAGAACGGATTCACGCCACTGTACATGGCTGCACAGGAGAACCACGATGAAGTTGTCCAGTACCTGCTCGATCACGGAGCCAATCAGAGCACAGCCACAGAGGTAGGATCTCGCAGTTGTCTTGGTTACAAGGATGAATGACTGTAGCCTTTAGAGTTCCCAAATGTCAGGGAAAAGGTGAGATCAACTAGAGATGGGGAGATGTTAGCATCCCAAAATACATGAACACTTCTTCAGATGAATGATAGATGTTCGTCAGTACTAGATTGTATAGTAGAAAGAGCATCTTTTCAATGAGTAAAAATAGCATTAGTATTCTATGGATGTCATGTTTTATTCCTTATGGTTATCAAGGGAATAGTAATAGTAGCAATGACAAATTTAATGTCTTACACTTGCAACCTATATCCATATGTTCAAATGAAAAATTGAAAAACCTTTGTCTGCTTGAGTGATCAAACACATATTTTAGTTTTGCTGCAGACAATTATTTCAGCAGTACTGATAATTTACAAGCGCCTATGAATAATGGATTAAAGCATGTGGTACGATTGTTGAAATGGGTCTCAACTAGTTTGCCAAATTGGGTCACTGCCAAGGGCACAGAATATCACAGAAGTCTCTGTGGAACTGAAATATTCATGTCTGTATGATTCATCGTAAAGGTTTTTAAATAACCAAATTTTCATTGTACACATAGGAAGGTTTAATTTTATCCCTGGCCAAGATGAAATGCATGCACTGAACATGTATCTAACCTATTTTCAATTAAACATTAATGAGTTCTGTGTATTGACTTAAATAAACAAGAATAGAAAGCAGCAGAATCCCTACATATATGATGGTTTGAGAAGTACCAGTAGATAACATTTTTTCTTATTTTTAAAAAATTCTTAAACTCTCAACATACAATTCTTTAAGAAGGGCTGTAATCTTTTGTGCAGGATACACCAAAAAGTCATCAAACAAAAGGAATTATGTTGCACAATCATTTCAGTCCTTAATCATGAGGCCATCTTGCAATATAACCATTATGCAGAGGCAATTTCAACATTCAACACATCAAGGTTACCTTTACTTAATGGCCCGAAAGTTGACCTATTGGTTGCAAGGGTTGCTATGGTTCACCAAAACCTGACTAATGGATTCATGGCAGGAAAGGTTAACGACCTTGGAAGCCACAAAAACGTGACCAAGTTTCCCAAACTGGACCCCTGTTTCCCCCATTTAAATTGTTTGTATTTTGTATGAAATCAACCACATCCAAATTAAGACTTGTTCTAGGACTGTGGGTTACAATGTATGTGGCTGGCTGTGTCACAACCGATATTATGCAAAAGATGTAGTGGTTGCTTTGCATTAAATGTAGACCAACAGTGCTTCATTTGGAAACCCTTGATATGTTTATGTTTAGAATATGTTCTGGACACTACCGATGATGTGTCTGCAGCCATGTTTTCAAGGCCATTTTTATAAAATAAAATACTATTCATGTACATCACAATAAAATACAAATTTTGTTATAATATTATTTTTTGAATGTCAATATTTCCAAATTACTGGAAATAAATTCAGGACAGATTTCTTATCCTTACAAAGAATTCCAAAATTTTGGGTAAGAAAATTCAAAGTCAATTGACATGTTAAATTTATAATGACAGTTTTGCTATATGAATTTCTGCCAAACACATTGCACAGTGAGGTGGCTAGATGACATTTTTGCCATCACGAGATATCGTAAATGGACACCCAGAAGTTTGGCATGAAAGCTTAGGGCTGATTTTTGCAGCTGCTCCCCTGTTCTATATGGACACCAAATATGGCAAGCTTGTCTGGCTGTAGTGCCAACAGCCACACTCCGCATGCTTTCTGCAGAATGATGTCAGAATGTCTGGGAAACTGAACATCAATGTGGCATTAATCTGTAACCACTGAGCATTACATAGTGTTCTGGGTGTACCAATAATACTCTCTTTACAGGTTTGTCAATGTTACATTGAATTGAAGAATTCCCTATATTGTGTAGTGCATTGGCTATCAGTTGCCAACTCAGAGCTAGGTGCATGACATACTAGATAAATCTACTTTCTACCCAACATCTGCTTGGAGATTAACTCAAATATCCCTATTTGGGTTCCTCCTGTATTTTTCTACCCTATCATACAGGGTCTTGTCTGACCTTATGACCCTATGATGACCACCAAAATGCCTTTTGACACATGGAGCAATATTGTAACCTTAGAATTTTAACAGCAGTAGATCATACCACACCATACATTTTTGTCTTTAATAATTCATATGTGAAGAGATGCTCTACCACTACAGTTGCCTGTATGAAATCACTGAAGTCTGGGTCATAAAGGTCACTTGATGAAACAAGCTGCCCCAGCAAATTGGATGAAGGCTTCCCACTTGATTTGACCCTTTGACAACTTATGGAAGTTTCTGATCTTATGAAAAACTCAGAGTGAGTGGTCTGAGTGAGTTCTGTTCCAGGTTTATAACAGCCTGAAGCCTTTACTAGACACACAAACATCCAGTATCTTAACAGACTAACCTGTTGGTTGTCTACTTTTAAACATTAACAAACAACTGAACACTGACCCAAAAGTATACATTCTAGAATTATAATTATGCCCCAGAGCCAGATCTAGAATACTATATAAGTGATTCGACAATTAAGTTGATAAATGAGGAAAGTTTGTGCTTCAACTTTATTTCTTCATCATATGGTCAATACACCATCAGTCTCTATTAAATTGTGCTAGATTTGCTGACATTGCTGCAAAATACATGGCACATTTTGAATCTAACCCAGGTAAAATCCTGTCCAGTATCCAGTGTTCATTGAGTTCCCATGGTCCTTTGCTTGCAGGATGGATTCACACCTCTGGCTGTAGCCCTCCAACAAGGTCACGACAAGGTGGTGGCCGTACTTCTGGAGAACGACACGAAGGGACGTGTCCGACTCCCCGCCTTGCACATCGCTGCGAGGAAAGACGACGTCAAAGCTGCAGCACTTCTGCTCCAAAATGACCACAACGCAGACGTCACTTCCAAGGTGAGCCTTTCTTGTTGTAACTATAACGGCTTCTTCTCGTTAAGTTTTCATTTGTGCTCGCTTCTTTGCTGCTCAAGAAAGCTCATTTGCAAAATCATGTCCATGCTCCAAGATGCAAATCCCTTTAGACTATATACAAACTGCAATCTCATCAGCTTAAACTCCTCTTTTGTCTTGCCCTAAAGTCAACGGACTTAGTAGATAAATGAGAAACACAGGATGTTAGAGCCGCCAAGATTGAGAGATAATAAGTTTGCAGTGTGTGGGAACATTCATGTTTTGGCTGCCAATTGAAAACTACATGTTGTAAATCCAATTTTCCATTCCCAATCATGCCTGCAGCAAAGTATTTCTGCATCCTCTCACAACATGCTGAAGTAGATAATCGATTCTTCAGCTGTGTAACTCCAAGTCCGTATCCTTTTTAACCTTCAAGTTCACCCAATAATAGACAAATTGCAGTCCTAGAGAATTGATATTTCATTTACAAAAGTAGCTCTTGCTTTAGATTTTATCATCATTTGTTTCCATGCAAGACTATGAGACATTGTTTTTAAATTAGATCCTAAAATATATTTGTTTCTGACCTTGAGGTTGAGAAAGGTTAGTCAAGGTGACATGTTGAGCTGGTTCAATTCAGAATTCCCCTAGTTAGTATTCCAATCACTCCTTGTGGGTTGAAAAGATACAGAAATTTTAATTAAGGACCCACATCAGTGAAAGTGAAGTTGAAGTACAAATTCCAGATAAAGCCTCCCCCTGATGCCATGTGAAAGGGGCTCTCTGAGACCTGGCAAGGTCCCAAATACATCTCTAAGCCAGCAAAAGATGTGATTTTGCAAATGGCCTGCCTGGTAGGCAAGACCAATTGAATTCCTTGGAGCATGGACATCATATTTCTAATCCATGTAACATTAGCTTCACAGGTAACTGCTAGACATCTTACTTTACAACCTACTTGTGTTCTACATTATACACAAAGGCATACTTCTAGATGCATGGAGATGGTTCTAGTAAAGTCAGACTTGCAAAGCATGTATTTTAATGTCTATACCTGGGACTAATTAGCCCCTTAATTGTACTAAATTTAGCTTTGAGTACTACCCAGAAAGTACATGTAAGTGCAAACATATGCATGTAATTTGCCAGAAGTATAGAGACCTTGTGCAAATGCAAATACAATTTAAAGCTCTTAACTATCTCTTAACTATCTCTATAATAGCTTGTTCATGCTCATTAGCTTACAGTTGGTCTTGCCATTGCTGCTTCTGTATGCACTTTGTTCACAAACCACTGTTCTTCTCTCTCAGTGCACCTTAATTGTATTACAGAGACTAAATCTTTGCATGAGAATGGCACATATCCTTCTTGGCCCTTTTTCTTAGCTGCTCACTACCATAGCAACAATCTCTTGATTGCTCCAACTACTAGTATTATCTGGACACCTTCTGCTTTGCTGCTCTGCTAAACTGTTTCAAACATAGTAAAGATGTATGTGTGAGCTGAGAAGAGCATTGGCTGTGCATGGCTGTACAAAGTAGTGTGTAGTGATGTATGTTGATGTGTTCTCTCCCCATGCAAAGTGGGCTGTCAATGCTGCAACTGAGGTGAATAACAAGTTCCTGTGTTGTTGGTGTTCGTGCTTTGTGTCATCTTGTCCTTTATTATTAACCTGCCATCACTGTCTTTCAAAGAGATGTTTTACAGTTAGAAAGCAGAACTGCATGCCCCCTTGTTCATTTCTTCTGATGTCAAGCTTTGGCTCTGTAACTCTGCCAGTATCTGTCAGATTTACATTACACATGTACTTTAATACATTCTCAAACGATCAGAACATCAGATTCTATATTCTGTCAAGAACCCATGGCTCACATTGACCTATATTGTATGCATTAAATTTGCATCCACGACTGTAAAGCTTCCTCTATCTCTCCCTCTTTGGCAGTATTCTGCTTCCTTGCCAATTTTCTCATGTCTCTTAACATTTTTTGACAATTTGGTTAACTCTACATGCAGAAGATTGCAGAGTTAGGCATCTCTTGGAATGGCAATGATGTGCCTAACTTTGTTGGTACTGTTAGCCCTGTGTATGTGTTCAGTGTGTAACTAATATTACCTTTGCTGTGAGCGTGAAATGTTATCATACATACCCCCTGTATACTCATTACTGTTAATACACTGTCCTTTGTTGTTTTCATCACTTGGTTCCAATTGATCAGCAGATTTGGTTGAATTGTTCTTGTCGGATTTTGTTTACAGTAGCCATTACTTCATGGTCCTCCTTTCTGTTGAAGTTTTCTTGCCAGTGATGAATGCATTGAGTTTTGTAAATTTGTATATGTTTCTTTTCACTTCTTTTATTACACTCAGATATTTACATTTTGTATGCTATAATCATGTCCTTATATTGGTATACCTTATTAGTAGGGTGCAATTGAATGATTGTTTCTTTTGAATGAATGTGTAAAATATTTTCATGACACACATACCTATGTTAAGTTGCATGCCAGAAATCACTGTCTTTTTCATATCTACTTGTACATGTATTGTAAAACATCATTTTTGTCATTTTCTTCAAAAGTAAAAGAGTTTTTAAAAATATATATTTTAAGCTCATATCATCATGTTGTTCTCAATGTGTGACTGAACACTTGTGCCTGTCTCTATGGTAACAGTTGTTTGTGTGTGTGTGTTAAACGCAGAGTGGCTTCACGCCCCTCCACATCGCTGCACACTACGGCCACACCAATGTCGGCACCCTCCTTCTCAACAGAGGAGCAAATGTCAACTTTGCAGCCAGAGTGAGTAAAATTCTCTTATTGAGTACAAGGACATTATATAGGATCCTTGTTCAGGACAAGGAACTTAGTACCTTTGCCAAGAAGGCTATGTATTTGGTAAAGTTTCTTTGTTTAGATGTACATGTATATTATGGTTTAGCATGAAAACTCAAGAAGCTACGTATGGATTGTCATGAAATTTGGTAAGTGGTCTTGATGAGACCTTGAAATGATTAGATTCTGGGCCCTCTAGCAGCTTGTTTGCTGTTCCCAAAATGTTCTATATGTACTGTAAACTTTCTCTTGATACAATGTTGAACTTGTACTTACTACTTATCTTCATTGATAATCAAATTAGTCTTACTTGTTGACAAAGTTTATTGTATACTGGATGTGCAGAATCAAAAGGCCAGTAGGTCAGCATTGTGCAAATGTTGGACTAAACGTCTTGTCCTCCACAGAATGGCATCACACCACTGCATGTGGCAGCGAAATGGGGCCGTGTCAACATGGTCACCCTTCTGATGGACAGAGGAGGGGCTATCGACAGTAAGACAAGGGTAAGTCGTGTGTTTTTGATGCTAATGCTGGGAAAAGCTTGAAAAAAAAAAACATGTGTTCTGTACAGAAGCACATTATGGTTATAGAGTATCATGAAGGAATTTATGCTGGTGACTTTTACCACCATTTTCTTTGTATAGATGGTTTCTCCAATACCATGAAGACAAACTGGTGAACCTTGAATAACTGCTACCATGGTGGTAACGGCAAGGATATGCCTTCATGAGGATAGCTTTCCTATACACTGCCTATTTTTGCTGAGACATGGTTCATAATTGATGATATGACTGTTTTCTCCCAGGATGGCCTGACGCCCCTACACTGTGCTGCCCGCAGCGGACATGATCAGGTCGTTGACCTGCTGTTGGAGAGAGGAGCCCCCATCCTTGCCAAGACTAAGGTATGCTACTTCTTCTGACAAGATAACTTTGCTTAGATTACTTGCTTGTGTAATGAGTCATGTAAGCTGTGCCTTGACTGTAAATAGCATCTATATAACTAGATTATTATCTCAGCAAGTCTTCATTCTTCAAACAAACCAAAGTAGTCAAAAATAATGTCAGAATATACATTCCTGATGTTTGTGTTTTCTCCCCAGAACGGCCTGGCTCCCCTGCACATGGCTGCCCAAGGAGACCATGTGGACAGCGCTCGTATTCTCCTGTACCACAAGGCACCCGTGGATGAAGTCACTGTGGTCAGTACACACTCCTTTTCTACAGCTACTTGCCTATCTGTGGAAATCTAAAAGTTCTATAATCTCTATTACAGGTAGAAGAAAATTGATAAAGTGACAGTCCACCCGTGATGCAAAGTGCTAAAACCCCAAACTACGAGCCTGAAACTACAGAGAAAACCTATGATTTGCATCTTATTTTTGAGATTCATTTGTACTACGGTCAAAGGTGAATCAAAGTTTCCTCGTCACAGTTGACTCCCAGTTGAGACAAATTTAGAGCACACAATTCTGAATTTTCCACCTTTATATTATGTGTCTCTCATGAAACTATTTTACAGTATTTCTGTGGCTGGCAGTGCAATGCCACTCACCACTGATTACGTTTGCCCAGAGCATATCAGGCCCCTACAGATACTGACATATCTTGTGTTTGTCCCCTGCAGGACTACCTGACTGCTCTCCATGTGGCTGCCCACTGCGGACATGTCCGGGTGGCCAAGCTGCTCCTGGACAGGAAGGCAAACCCCGATGCTCGGGCTCTGGTAGGTGCAGTCATGGAGAAGTTAGATTGTGAATCTGAGGAAAGCAAATTTTTATAGTTCTCAGATGTTAGCTCTTTGCAACAGCTCTTTGCAAATATGTCAATAACATGTCCATCTCTCTACCTCCACAGAATGGTTTCACCCCCCTACACATTGCATGTAAGAAGAACAGGATCAAAGTGGTTGAACTGCTGCTCAAACATGGCGCCTCCATCCATGCTGTCACTGAGGTGAGACTCATGTTTATATTCAAACAGTGCAATAACATTTCACAGCATACAACATGTATAATATGTGTTTCTGCTGTAAGAAAAGACTGTTGGTATGCCATGGGGATCTGTCCTTGGTGCTGAACTGTGTTCAAAGACAGAAGGAAGCTCTTGCTTCTAAGTAAGGGTGCATAACATATCCCTAGAATAGTTGGATATGTAAGACCTGTCATGATTTGAGCAGTAGACTTACTAGACTAAGATGGCTGAGAGGTTGTTCATATCTTTAAGAATAGTGTGCTGTCCTTGGTGCTGAATTGCACATCACTAGTAATGAGGAATCTTAGAATTTCTTCAATTACAACGAAAGAATCTTTGCAACCTACATGCTCTTCAGTCTATGTTTCTATGTACTGGAACCATGTGTATAGCATGTTAATCCCTGTTTCAAATGCTGTAACCCATGTTATGTGTGGAGTCTTTGTTGACTGATGTTGTTTTCTCCCCAGTCTGGTCTGACCCCCATCCATGTTGCTGCCTTCATGGGACACATGAACATCGTCCTCCTTCTGCTGCAGAACGGAGCCTCTCCCGACGCCACCAACGTGGTAAGTGAACATGATCTTGAACCAGTCAGCTCACTGAAGATAGAGCTATATTTCCACTGGTGGTGATAGAGAAGACAGAGGCTATGTACACACACTTGCAGGTGCATTGTACCAGGGAAATTTGCCTAGCTTTGACAAGTACAGTGGACCATGGCTTAACATTCAGTCCCCTTTTCCAGTGGCATGCATGCAGAAGGGGGACAACTATAGGAATTTTAGTCCAGTCTCTTCTGATAGGGGAGTAGTTTACTGTTAGCTTGTCTGCTGTGTAGTGCTGTCCTTGGTGCTGAAATCTGCTATGATGTACATTCATGTGGAAAAAAGAGGGAAGCTTTCTGAAGTTTGACTACCACTATCATGGTTGTTATTGATAACTGTTTGCTATTTCCAGCGCGGGGAGACCCCTCTGCACCTGGCAGCACGTGCCAACCAGACCGAGATCATCCGCATCTTGCTGAGGAACGGAGCCCAAGTCGACGCAAGGGCACGAGTAAGACAACCTGTGATTTCTAAAGAAAAGTGAAAAATTACAACCAATGCATGCAATTTGAGATGAGTCAACAGGAAACTTAAAGTCGAAAGTTGACATCGTACTGAAGCCACATTTAACGTTCACTATCATAATTCTGCATGATACTCTAACTAAGACTGCCACATTGTACACGTGGCATTATCAATCGTCAATTCCATCGGCAAAGACACCATTGGAATTTGGAAATTTTTAGTCCGTCAGTTTTTTCAACTCTGTTGCATGTCTCTTTAGATCATTGCATTGACTTGAAATCTAGGATTTGTAAATGAGAAACCACCCTAACACATTAACAGCATTCTGATCAGAGTCTCTTTTGACAAAGGCACCGATCAGGATCTCTACTGGGATAGAAGCCATTATTAACATTATATTTCCTTTTCCTCAGGAGGACCAGACTCCACTGCACATCGCAGCCAGACTCGGCAACGTCGAGAACGTCATCCTGCTTCTGCAGCACGGCGCCTCGCCAGACGCAACCACCAAGGACCTGTACACTGCGTTACACATTGCCGCCAAGGAGGGTCACGAGGACGTGGCTTCAGTACTGCTGGAGCACGGCGCCTCGCTGTCCATGACCACCAAGGTTTGTTTGTCTGTTTGTTTGTTTATTTGTTTGTGTGTTTGATTATCTACCCAGGGTGGTCCATCTCAGTGTTATAGTGGGCCCTGCAGAACATACACATAACATCTATACATACATTTAACAATCACTATATGACATTTACCATGAGCTCTTAGCTCCAGGAGCTAGCCTTGTAGTACAGTGTTACTATTACTAGAACTTTCTTTCTGTGAAATCTAGAATGCATAAGCACTTAATTGTTTTTTTAACCTTGAATGCCCCTAAGTAATGTGGGGTTGACAGATGGTAAGATACCCTGCTGTTGAAAAAGATTGGCGATTCTGAAACATCATTGCATAGTATTCTATCAATTTTCCAATGCAAAATAATTTATCTCTCTTTGTTCCTCCTTCCTCGCCCCACAGAAAGGGTTCACCCCCCTCCACGTGGCTGCCAAGTACGGCACCCTGGAGGTGGCATCCCTCCTGCTGCGCAGATACGCCTCCCCTGACGCAGCAGGCAAGGTCAGTACAACATACGACATACTGTATCATCTGTAGGTTGTGATGTGATGAGATGTTATGCTTTTGGAAAGGCACTTTACACTACATGTACTCTATAAAGTACAATTGGTACCTGACTTCAGTTGGGGAGGTAAAATGCAGTGGAAGGAGAGGGATAGGCACCGTTTTCCAATACTGTCCTCTAGACACAGTTAACTAACAACTTACTGCCTCTTTGGCAAGGGATATGAAAATACCTTTACCTTATACACATACATGTTGAAGTTTAGTGTCTGCCTTGTTCTGTATCACACGTAAAGCTGTTTAGTGATGCAGTACAGTATCTTATGCTGAGGTAATAATGAAACATGTTTAGACATTGATTCCTGACACTTGGGTGACTATGAGATCAGTGAGGTTGACTTTTCTCTTTACCCGTGTTTCAGAATGGCCTGACCCCCCTGCACGTGGCAGCCCACTATGACAATGTGAACGTAGCGCTTCTGCTCTTGGACCAGGGAGCATCACCCCACGCAACTGCTAAGGTACAGCTTACAGTTTGAAGGCTTACTCATTATGCTACGTAGTGTGTTTTAGGATTAGGGGTAGCCCAATGTGGTTGGCTAAGTATGCCAACCATCGCAAAGCCGCATTACACTAGTATTTAGTTGAAAAAGCATCATGCTTCACCTCATTGTGACTATGGTTTTAATATGTCAGTTTACCATAAAAATTACGTATGTATCTTATAAGAGCAGTATGAATGCTAGGAAATTCCCAGAATCTTGGTTATCTTATAGGATGTAGGAAGCATGCTTATACACATGTACTTTGTGTCCTGTACAGAATGGCTATACCCCGCTTCACATTGCTGCCAAGAAGAACCAGATGGAAATAGCTACAACCCTACTGGAGTATGGTGCTGAGGCAAACGCCACCACCAAACAGGTAATGTACACAGGGGCTCTCTTGGCAGTCAGTGAGAAGTTTTCTCTTTTTGTCTGTATGGATGGAGTTGTAATATGATAGAGAAAAAGTATAAAACTATAAAAGTTATATTGTTAAGTCTGCATTTTTCATTTGTGTTTTAGAACTGTGAAACTGTTATGATTACTCAGGGCAGATCTATTAAGTGCATCTCAAGTAGAATCTTAGTACATGTAACGTTATAGTGAAGACATTTCCTTTGTAATTTGCACTAGCAAAGTTTCCAGAGTAGTATACTACTGTACAAGAGTCTTAATAGACCTCTTAGAACTAATGTCAAATACATATCTTTATATTTATGTATTTCAGTGGAGGTCATATTGAAACTGCTATCTTACCTTCAGTTTTGTTTCTAGTGTACAACTTTTAATAATTCGTATTAATTTTGTGGTCTACATATTATCCTTTGTTCATAACTGTCTTTTTGGAATTCTTGTTTGGAATACTTGTACTTATTATCAATGCTTTTTGCTATTTTTTTTCTTTATGAGTTTTATGATTATATTTTGTATTTTTTTCTAATTCCCTACTCTCTCCCAACCCATCTTTCCCCCAAAGTGTCAGCAGTTGAAGCCCTCCCAGGTTTGTCAGGGTTCCAGACTCGGACTAACCTGCTTCACACGTTTGTTTGTGTAATTTACTCCTTCCTCAACAGGGAATCAGCCCGCTCCATCTGGCCTCCGAGGAGGGTCACACAGACATGGTGTCCTTACTTCTCAACCACAATGCTAAGACGAGCATTACTGCCAAGGTATTGTTCAAAGCAGAGACTGTGTGTTTACGCCCCCCTCCCACCCTCAGTGTGATTTTATTTCTCTTTCTCTCTCTTTCTTTGATCTGTGCGCGGTTGTGCAGGGCATTGCCCCCATCCACCTAGCCTCACAAGAAGGACACACAGAAATGGTCAACCTCCTACTAGACCGTGGTGCAAAGGCTGATATTACTGCCAAGGTACGAACTGTCATAGTCACAGTTCACCACTCAAACCTCCACCATGTAAAAACTTCTGTCAAACCAAAAAAGCAAGCATGCTACATGCATGACAAAATGTGTAGTCCCAACCTAACATCTTGAAAGGAAAAATGCCTGTCACTCATTTGAAGAAAGTACTATCTCAACCTGCTCATTTGAGACAAGTCACTAATCCAACTTTATTCTGGTGATGCACGCATGCATGACAATCTCTATTAGCCTTAAAATTAATACTTCACAGATGACAACTGATATATTTCTAAAGCCATGTTCGTCATTTCTAATTGATTTATCGGTTAGCTCTTCTTTTGTGCATAATTTTTGTGATTGTTGTGCGTGTATTTTGTCCCAGACAATGTGATTGGGAATCTCGTGGTGTGCTACCCGTGTGCACGCATGCCATCTGTCTGTAATGGTGTGGCCACAGCTGTGTAACCTGTGTCTGTCATGCATGTACCTGCTAATTGAGAAAGTAATCCAACAGTCTGCCATATCAAGTGTGCAACTTAGCAATTTTCTTAACACCAACTTGAAGATAACTTTTTCCCGTTGTGTGTTTATAGCACTAAACTGTTATTAACAACTGTGTAACTGTCAAACCATTTTTAGCCTGGTTACCAAACCTATTTTAGCTGTTGAGTCAGATTGAGGAGAGGATGAAAGATACTAAAGCTAAAATAATTTTGGTAACCAGGCTTAACCATCTTGTCCTGTTCTGTGTTTATAAAAAAATGCTAACATTTAACAATAGATGTTTGGAGTTGTGGATTTATCTTTGTCTTTTGAACTCAGACCTAAAACTGGTCAACAAACACCGTGCATAATTGTCTGTATGTATTGTATATTTGACACGTGCATTTACTCCTGTGGATTTGCAGAATGGACTGACTCCCCTTCACCTGGCAGCTCAAGAGGACCAGGTTCCAGTGGCCTCCATCCTGGTGAAGAACGGAGCTGAGATCAACGCTCCAACCAAGGTACACAAAACCTTTATAGTACAGACTTGTTCTAAGAGGACATTGTCTGATGTACAAAGCTCAAAAGCATCACTCTTGTACACTCTATGTGATGATAATCATTCATCGTGATCAATGAGGATCTTGACTTCCGTTTCCTTTGTGATGAGTCTAGATGTGGCTCATGAATTATCTAGAATATAATACAGATGGAATACAGACGTAATGCAGTTGATTATTAACATTACGTTTTGAATTATTTTTACTATGTAAGACCCACAATTCTATGTTATTATCAAGTTGTTAACTTAGTTGAATCTTGTTTTCTCCTCCAGGCTGGCTACACTCCCCTCCATGTTGCCTGTCACTATGGCAACGCCAAGATGGTTGAATTCCTGCTGCAGAATGGGGCAGGAGTCAATACCAAGACCAAGGTCAGCAGCAACTGTCTTTTTTATGGCACACCATCAGGTTCTCATAGGCCATTCAAACCATCGATAAGATACAGAGTTTACTTCTGGACATTTTGAAGGAAATCCATCACTCCTCATTGTCATTGAATTAAACTAACAGAATCAGTCAACACTTTTACATGAGCAACTTTTTTTTAGAAACTTTAGAATTCAACCTGGGTTGTTGTGGTCAACTTTTCATCATTCGTCATGGTTTTTGTAACATGAAACATTTCTGGTGGTTTATTCTCATGGTTTTCACAATGACTACTCCACTGTGAATCTATGATACAGGGAATATGGTTTTGTTGTAGGATAAGGTTAACTTTGCTACAGAATTGTTTTAACCATGACACACCCCCTTTCCTTCCTACCGAATTAAACCACAAAATTAAATGCATTTACAGTAACTCTAACTTACTTTTGGTCTCTTTTCTGCATCTAGAATGGCTTTACGCCCCTCCATCAGGCAGCGCAGCAGGGCCACAACCAGATTGTCCAGATGTTGTTGGCTTACGGGGCCAATCCCAACGAACCGACCAACGTGAGTGTCAAAATTACACATAAACAAACTGAAACTGGTGTGTAAGAAGTTTCAATTATCATTATTGATGTCACATCGTCAAAGTATTCACCAAATCATGAGATATTGTACTGATTTGTATTTAAAGTGAGCAGTTTCTTGGATGCTTTATCTATTTGTAGATACACAACACACAAAACATACACAATTGCCTCAGCAAAAAAAATCTGCTATGGAACCAAACACTTTTTTTTTAGTTATATGGTGTATTGAGTAGCAGATGGTGCATGGATTCTGTACTGCTATCCGTGTGATTGTGCATTCAAATGCCACAGTTCAAGTGCACCACTATGCAGTTGAGATAAGAACTGCAGTTCAAATTGCAGTGTCTCCATCAACAGTTGTACATAGTGCTACAATGCCATGTACATACTACAAGGACATTACCCTTAGATAATGTCCTTGGATTCTAGTAGTTACTCTTTCTTACATTGGAATTTACCATATCAATTCTACATTGTATAATGTTGTTGCATCCATCATTTTGATGTTAAGGACATAAGTATATTGTTTAGTTGGGGTGTGTGTGTCAGTGATAGGTAATATGTACCTATGAAATCTAACCTAACATTTTACGTAACAGAATGGGAACACTCCTCTGGACATCTCCAAGCGACTGGGGTACATCTCAGTGGTGGACACCCTCACCGTTGTCACAGAAACAGTCACTAGGGAAAATGTAAGTATTAGTATTGCACAAGTTAAACTGAACATTGACATTCCTGTTTGCATGTGGCAAAAGTTTTGTGATGCTTTTGTTTTGACAAAAACTTTGTAGTTCACAGTTATTTGCTACTCATTAATAGAATAATAGAAATAATGATAGGCTTTTGTCACTGGTTTAAATAGCCTTTTCTTTTCTGATTGGCTGCAGGTTGTGGAAGAGAAACAGAAGCTGAATGTCCCTGAGACAATGAATGAGAGCTTCATGTCAGATGCTTCTGACGAAGAGGGTAAGTTTTACCACCTTGATGTTAGAAATTTTGTAGTACAGTGAAACCTGCCCAAGAGAACACCCCTACAAGTCAGCCACTTGGCCATTCATCACACCCTTGGCCATAACAACCACTTTTTCCCTGTTCCAAAATTTTTACCCATATAAGAGCAAGCATTAAGTGACCTGCCCGCAGGCTTGATTGTGTACAGTTATTATGATCAGAGGGGTATCACAATTTTGAAACCCAAACATTTGCCAAACCTTCCACCACCTTTGTATCTTTGATGACTTTGATGATGGAAAACCTACGTTTGTTGGAAAGCTTCAGTAAGGAATTAAACGTTATCCTGTTCTCCATGCTAAGGATAATGGCAGGAAGTACTTACATAATTGCACATACTAGTTCTTAATGATCTTACCTACCTACATGTACCTACTTAGTCCAGGGCTTGAAATACCTTCTTCTGCATACCTGCACTGGTATAGGTGGCATATTATGTATCATTTGTAAAGTAACATTACAAGTAACCTGCACCAGACAAATTTTACCTGCACCACTCAGAATTTATGAAGTATGGATTGTACTAAACCATTGCCAGTATCTGGTAACAATGAATGCAGCAAATGAAAATCCACAAATAAACCGAGTCCATGGACTGGTGCAGGCTAGGTGCAGGTAAACATCAGAAACACCTACACAGCTCCAATTTTTCGTGCACCAACCCTCTTACAATACATGCATATGCAGGTGGTATTTCGAGCCCTGTAGTCCCCCAGCCTGTCCTCTGGGGGACAAAGTAGACATAAAGAAGGAAATCTTTCTCCAGACTCTTCTTTGTGTGGTTACAGTCAGCAATTCTGAGACGTTAGAATCTTAATGATCAGTCACGTCTAAAAGGCTTTGAGTCCAGCAGTGGAGATGGAGGAGACAGGAGTTCTGTAAGCTCCCATTCATCACGCCCACTTCTTTCAAACCTCTTCCTGTTCCCTGGTGTCCTGGATGGCAGCTAGCTTTCAGGGGAAGTAGAAAATAAATGTGTTGATGACGTCTTCCGTAGGATGAGGCCAAACCCTTATCTGCAGGAAACTCTGCTGGTCACCTCCCTTATCATCCTCACAGGCTTCCTCCCTGGAGTGTGAAGTCATTTCACACTTATCATTGAGTCCTCACAAAGTCTTGCTAGGGAGGAGCTTGCAAGCTGCAGAGGTAAATCACAAATGCTCCTAAGTTGATGCCAGGAAACTATTGCTGTTGGACATTATTCAAAGGCTCTTGGATGAATCTTGGAGGCTATGTCTTGGTGTGTGGGCTGTGGCTGTCTTGAGTGAAAATGGCAACTTCGAAGTGTGAATGGGTAGAGCAATAAAGGTAAGCTTATCAGGGTTCTGACTTGAGAAGATGTGTCTTGCAACCTTCAGACAGATGACTGTTCCATTCATGCCAACTGGCTAAATATCATCTGAATTCTTCACAGAGGTGTATAATGTTACATGTTGTTTGTTCAACTGTTGCCCTTGATATCAAAGGTCATTCAAATTGGTAAAAATTCCTCTCTGGTGGTGTTCATGATCAAGGATACACACATTTTGAGGCATATTTGTCATGCCATAGCTGCATTTCACGTTTTAAACCAACAGTGTTGGCGAAATTTGTTTTGCTCATGTTTGGTCTCTATGAAAGAAACAAGCACCCTAAATCCAGTTGTCCATACTTCTCCGCCTTATCGAAATCCCCGCAGATTTGATAGAACTCTTTGTATGTGAGCTGTTGGCCTCTCCAGGACATGATATCCTTCAGTTACATTCCTCTCCCAGGGGTTCTAGGGGGAATTCAGGAGAACAAACAGTCCGGAGTCACTGGTAGCACGTTCAGGCAACAACAGCACGCGTCATGAGCTAAAGGTCTCGTTCCTCGGAGCTAAAGTTAGAACATGAGGACAATCTGAGCATGTGCAGATGACGTGGGGCCTCAGTAAGTCCTGTGGTGCCATCCCCACACCACACCCTAGCTTCCTCAACCACAGCTTTCCTCCCCATTCACTAGAACCAACATGTATTCTACCTTATAACTCTTAACGCTCATGCTGATACTGAAATATGAAGTTCAAGCTTTAGATGAAGGGATTGTGAATTGGCATATGAAAGGAGCATCGAAGACAAGCATTGAGAAGGAGGTAGGTAAATGATGGTATCTCTTGAAGACTTGGGGAGGTATTCCTGAGGTTGGGCCCCAATGGTATTCCATAGATCTTCCATGTTTTATATAAATATATATAAGTATATAGAAATGTGATGAACAATCCTATAGCATGACGTACCAAATGTTATTGGGTAAACAACAGGAAATCTGAGAGGACATGTTGGATCTCAAATGCCCGACATTGTTGACCTTTGTTCTTAGGGCATAAAATACCAGCCTGGTTTCCTGGACCACTGACACCCCAGAGCAATCATCACAGCCATGTTGAAATAAGTCCCCAGACATGAATCTGCTCTAGTGCCTGAAACGGGGAAACCCAATCAGCTTTTGGGGGGCAATAATTCAGAAATAGGAGAAAAAATGATGAGATGTGGTTGATTGCTTTGCCAAGATGAATAACCATTTTTGCTTGCATCCAAGTCTACACTGCCTGTAACATTTGTACACTTCAGTGTGATAATATTAATAGTCCACCATCAGGAAGACATTTATTATTTGTAGTGTTTAATATTTTCTACGACAGAAGACTGACACTGACAAACTCCTTTGACAGCTGAGCAGATTCAAATTATTGAGCATCATCTCGACTTAAACTGATGGCTACTTATTGAAGACTGTCCATCATCCCTGTTGCATGTCTTGCCAGGGCCCCTGTCTTATCATGAAAAGAATACATTTGTATGTTTTAATCTTTCCAACAAGTAACCAATCTAATTCAATCTTTTATGTGTTTATACCAGTATTTTTGTCAGTTGAAGGTATGATTAAATTGTTGCAAACACATAAAAAATTTAAGCTATCCTGCCCCATAGCAACCAGGCAATCCTTTTAAGGTACAATGCCATGATTTACTACCCTGTTCCTGATATTTAATGGGTGCGATCGGGGGGCTTTGCTTCCATGGTAGACAGTCATTTCTTCATCAAACAACTGGTCTTGGTATTAGCTTTCCGAATATTTCTTCACCACCTTTCTATGGCCCCAAACCTCCAATATGTACAGTATGAAATCATCCCTTTACGGCACAGTGTGCCTCTTACAAACTTAATCATCTTGGAAAACTACCAATATCAGTGGTTACCAGTAACATTTATAGGAATGGAACATTCTACTGAAAAAAATGAATATGTCACTGAAGATGGATGGATAGATAAGTCAAAAAATTAATTTCAATGCCTGGATGGTGTAGCTCATACGGCCCTCTCCCCACTTCCATTTCCACCACTACTTGATTGTCATTCATGAGGAGGACCAATGATACAGCATTTCCTTAATATGTATGTCATTGATTTCTCCCAGGCTGGTAATATCTTACCCACCTTGCCAGAGACATGATATAAGAAGTGGTAAAAGGTACCCAGTCAGACGCCTGTCGTCTTAGATTAGGCAAGACTGTACAGAACATTCTGTGTAAAACATTGTGATATGACACTGTAAGGCGTGGGCAGGAACCAGCCAGTAAGAGGGAAGACCCAACAACAGGGCAAGATTATGATAATTGAAAGCCCAGGTCTGCTACCTCCAGACCGATCCACAGTTAGGTTGACGTCACACCAAAATACCTGCGCACAACCCTGTCCTGGGCCTGTAAGTATTGGACATCCTTCACCACAGATTTTAGCACCTACTTCCTCTGTAAAATTTGTATTCCATTCAGATCAGGGGAGGGAGAAACTACCAGTAGTTAAAGCCAGAACAGTAGATTTTTACAGCATATTGAATAATCATCAATAGCCAAAGAAGTGGGTTCAAGTAATCTGTTGTTAAGATTCTTTTATTCTTTCTTATCTTAAGCATGCTTGTGAGATATTTTCTACCCATTATTTGCTACTTTTCAAGAATCAGAGTACTTCATAAATCATTATTGCATTACCTTAAAACTAAAATCTCTTTGTTTTTGGAGGATAAGAATACTGCAAATTCTAGGTATTAACCTTAAGGATAAGATTTTATTGCATTAGCTGTGACGAGATGATTGTCTGAGTGATACGTATCATTGTTAATGACATGTAATATCATAGCATGTTCTTGCACCACCCAGGTAATTGCATATTATTTGTCCATGTCAGGTGAAATCTATTCCTGTATCGATATCCTGATATTGTACCGCTATGTGGGGCAAGAAAATGTCCACACAGGCTCGGAGGCGGATGTTGGCTTTGAACCCCAAGTAGATTTCTTTACATGGGCTGAACTTCATGTTGGGTCAGAGAGACGTGCCACTTGTATTGATTTTGACATGTCCTGTACAGTCCTCTAATTATGTGGCAAATTGCAAACCACAGAATAGGATATCAGAATGCATAGATGCCACACCCACAGAGGCTTACCAATGGGTGTTCATTCCACATCCCAGCATCACAATGTGAAACATCTTAACCATATAGACTAAAATGCCTTGTCGTTGAAGTGACATCTAAGCGCAATGTTTGTTTTTATGACATTTGTCTCAAATGTGTCAAAGGCAAGTAGCTGGGCCTGTGAGGAAGTGAATTGTTTGCTGGTGTCGTACAGTAGCTCAATACGGGAGCTGGGCCCCTTCCCTTCCACTTAGCATTCAGAATGCATGAGCCAGGTTTGCCCAGAGGTAGGTAAGTAAAGCTGTCTCCTAACATTTCAAACTATTAGAGATAGATATCTTTCAGAGCAAATTCACATGCAAACAGACTTATTTTTTACTTTGTTTCTTCACTTGGAAAGGTTAGAAGAAGATTTTGCACAATTTTAGATAGCTGAAACATTTTTCTCAAGCAGAAATTTTGGGGTCTGTGATTCTAAAAAGGATGAAGAAAAATGCAATCAAACATCTAAAAGTCGTGTGTACTTTGAAGTTAGGGTAAATCCTATAACATTGATTGGGAGCTGTGATATGGAATGTCTGCTGTTTCTGTTAATTCCCTATAACCCTGTGCATTAATCTTGGCATGTATAAATTACAGCTTAGGCAGAATTGGATTGGGGCAAGTCATTTTATTAGCATGAGGTTGGGAAAGATTTTTGGCCACCTTATTGAAAATAAAAGAAGAAAAATGCAGGGAGTCAGTGATCCTGTACAGTGCGAATTTTGTGGAGAATGTCAGTAGTCAACCTCTTCACATTAATTTTGGACTCCTGACATGTAATCAGTCTAAGTAGAGGAATTTACCTCCATCACACCCTGGTTTAATCTAGGGGGCTGGGCAGTGGTTGTTGTGTGGAGATGAAAATTACTAGCTTGTCCGAATGGTGTCCGGGAAGCCTGAGGGAGGGAGTGTTCACAGGGCAGACCGGTTTGATGCATTGCCGTTGAGATCAGGGAATTTTCAAAATGTGTGGAGGAGGTGACCTAGGGGAGAGCACGTGAAGGGAACGTGCGCCGTCGGCAAGATGGGGAATTTGGAATTCTGCTGCGGAGCACGGCGTACCGGTAACTCCTCACCCATGTGTGAAATATGCCTCAGCTGGGGGTATATTCCGCCTAATTTCTTTCCCATATTAAGTGATCATTTCTTGAGGCCGACTTTGACTCCTGAGCATGCCTTCTCCATGTTAATGAGAGTAGGATCTTCACAGCAGATGTTGCATAGATGTGAAGTTTGCTACAGACTTTCAGCTGCTTTGTGGTTAATAAGCATGCAGATGTGGGTTGTGGATGAATGGTCATCATTATTGGCCACTAACCACCTCTGACCTAGAGGGAGTCACCCCAGCTGATCAACATATTAAATGGCTGTATAATAGATGTACATTGTATAATGTGGAGCCTTGGTGAGAATTCTAACTGGTCCTCCTCAAAATTTGAGTCCGTCAGAGAATCTGGCTAATCCCCAAATTGTGTTTTCAGCTTGATGAGTGCCCATGGGTATTCTGGAAGTTTTTAAGAGATTTTGATTTTTTGAACTTGACAGTTTTTGGTATGTCAAACTTCTCAGACTGAGCCTCTGGTATGTGTCCATATGTAGCATTGTAGACTTCAGTTAAATCTGTGATGTACTCTTTTGAAGAGATATTGTCAGGAAAGTATTAGTCATATTGCATGTACTAAATTTGTGAAGGCAAAATGTACATAGCACCAACTTTGTTTTGCATACAATAAATTCCAACCTTATCAGATATTCAAAGACATGACATCAAACCATTTCCCCATTACACAGCACAGCTAGAATACATTACTAGTTTTGCATATTTTCCAGACAAAGGTGTTGGAAGAGTTGGTGTCACAGAATGTTTTTTGCTGTGAAAACAGTCCGCCTGTCCGCATACTGTGCCCCAGAAGCTTTACCATTGCTCACATGCTTAATACTTGAAGTCCCTTGAAAATAAATTAGGAACATTGTGTTACACTGAGAGTGAGAAGGCTAAGTTCTGAAAAGTGTCCATACTTTATTTGGGTTTTTCCAGTTTTTATCTACATGTACGTTCTTCAATCAGGATGCAAACTTTAATCTGGAATTTCTGGGAACATTGTTTATTATGAGGTTATATCAGTCTTTTCTGTGAAATTAAACAGTGCATCTCTTTCTTCTGCTGCTGCAGGTGAGGAGACAATAACTGGAGACACCATTGGCTACCTGACAGTTCAGGACATCGGAGAGCTCGGTGACGACTCCATCTTCATTGGGGACGTCAAGGCAGAGAACCGCCTCAGCTACCACTCTGAAAGGTACGCACATCCGCCTTTTGTTCTTGCCTTACAGGTAGTGTATTAAGTCATCATTAGTTGGACAGCTATTGGGATATGTACTGTAACAAGATCTTAATCTATTTTTTTAGAACAGAGATGTATTATATAAAATTAACCTGGATATTGGTTTTTACGCAAACAACATTTATCATTGCATAATGTTAGAGATGGTACTATTTGTTGTTAATATTTTTTACAGATTTGAAGTATTTTTGTAGAAGAATGTGATTGTGCATGTACTTAACCAATTGTGATCTAGGTTGCAGGAATAAATTCTTCTACAGAGGATGTATAGTTCTGAAGTAAAATTCCTTCAAAGACAATATGATATTTACTATATCAATGTAAGATGTACGTACTATGAGCTGGATGAGTTTAATTAATATTTTGTAGCTGCTTAATCATTTGTCGTACAGTAATGCATGCAAATTTTTTCACTACTTTTATTATTTAATATCCACCTTAGACAGAGGCAGATGAAGAAATGGAATATTTACCAGAGTTCTTCTTTCCAATATACTACATTTAGTATAGATGTCCTTAATTTGGGGGGTAGCCAAGGAATAAAACTCTCACAGCCTATCGTGTAGACCCAGCTGGCGTCGGCAATGTAGATTGTACTGCATCTGATGAAACTTGACCCTACAGTAGCGCAGGGCAGACCAGATTGGTGAGCGTTATTGATGGTGCAGAATTGGATCCGTTACAATGGCCCCGTGTGATGGCTGATTTGTGCCACCATCTGTGGAACAGGATAACCAGATCCTGACTGAAATTTTTGCAGCAGCGCCCGTAATCTCCACACAAATTTTCCAAGGGCGCGTCAATCTATCAGTCGATGTATCAATCAAGCCTCTGCGGTGCACCAGTTGGGCAGTTTCAGTTGATACATTTACCACGCTTAGTTTAGAAATGCTCTGTCACCATCGATGCAGGATATTGAATTTTCCCACAGAGCACCTGCTCGGGGCCATATTTCATCCCCCTAAGCACATTTCCATGTCTGGTCACTAGTACCTCCCTTTACAATTATAATGTATAAGTCATCAATGGTGTTGCATCAGGTCAAACCATTCCAGCCTTGTTCTTTAACAGATGTAATTCATACTTAGCAAACATGGACCAACTTGTGTTGAATAATTTCCCCATGTAGCCGGCTGTCTCCTCAGCAGCAGTACTATACCCCAGCCCTAAGTGTGGAGAGTTCCCCACGGTATGTCACCCAACGTCAGCCAAGACGTGTCAAACTAACCCGGCTAATTTTACCCCCTAGGCCTGCTCTGCCGAATCACAGATAACGCAGGAGGCTGCACATTGATCCGCATTGATCGTACTTGTCAATTCATTTGCATGGATGAAACGTCTTCTCTCACTCTAATGAAGCTAATCAATAGCCTGTACTTACTCTATCGATTGCTACAAATGGGCCGGCGCTCTGCGAGTCTGCTTTGGCCCTTTGTTCGGCTATAAAAATGTCTAACATTGACATCTGCATTTCATGTTGTTACTATTGCACTGGCCTGCATACAATAGGAAGCCGGAGCGCATGGGCAAAAGGTATTGCGTACACAAAATGACTATCTAATGACCTAGCTACTGTACATTTACATTGCTTACCCAAATCTTCCACCACTAGATTTTGCATGAGATGCATGATTGTATTCCCTGCCTGCTTAGCATCATTGCAATCACTTAAATCCCTGCTTTATCCATACCAGATCATACATTTAGTATGTAGTTAAATGTATTTTCTACGTAATTTTATACCAGTCTGATATACAGTGTAGTTGATTTTTTTAGTTATAACCACTGTGGTTATTTTCTGTATATAAGATCTCATAGCTTATCTCTTACAAGTTTGTCTCTTTAGGTTTTATATCTTCCTTTTTCACTGAGCAAAACTAGCTATCACCCTTTTTTCTAGTCATTGGTTACTACACTAGTCTACAGTACAGATACATGCTATGCTATGTAGATGTACAGTAACACAAGTTCTTCCCCTACATATACTGTTGTAGTTTCATTAACCCTTTACTATCCTTCCTTTTCCTAATGATTTGTTCATTTGTAGAGCAACTACATATTTATGTAGCTATAACCTACATGATTAATATCCTTGAATAATCATGTTGCCTTTCTCATCTGTAGTCTCTAGAAGCTGTCCTAATTCCACTCTCATCTCCTTTACAGCTCCCTCTTCCTCTAATGCATCTTGCGATCTTGTCTTTCCCTAAATGGCCAGATATCATGAAAATGGTCATCATTTCCACAGTTCCAATTGTTTATGAGCCAATCAAACCAACCAAATATCTTTGTAAACCTCATTGATATTTTCAATGCAGATTTCATTTGACACTTTTTGTAAATGGCAGTTCTTGCAAATTTGTAACATTTAATGAAAGTACTGCAAACCGAAGCAAAATATTGGTTTATTTTCTGTACTTTTCATGATGCCAGGCCAATGGACATCTCTCTTTTAGAAATTTCCTGAGTGCATCTACATGTACATGCAGTAGCTTTCCCACTTTAGTCTGTCTATCCCTACTATCTATACTAACCTTTTTATGCCTTTCCAGTAGATTTCCATCTAGTTGTTCTAGTCATGCTATGAATGAGCCAATTTTTGCTGTAATGATTATTGAAATCATATTTAATAACATGTGAAGCATGGTAGTGAAGTTGCCTCCTCACTGAAGGACATAACTTCTTCTGTCTGTTCATCTATCTGTCTATCTATCCGTTCATTTGCCAAGAATATATACCAACACCTAGATGCAATTAATGCAGCAGCTGCTTTTGTTCATTGTCTTTAAAAGGTATCAGAACTTATGCAGAAGGCATATCTAGCACAACTTTTATCAACTGCTTTTGCAGCTATAAAACATTTAGAAAAAAAAATGTATACCAGAGCTGTCAAGTATTTCTGCTTATTAGGAATATTTAGGAAGATAAGTGCGAAGTATTCATCAAAAATGACTTGGCTATAGAGTTGAAGCTGTCTTCGACCTTTTCGTGTGTCACTTTCCATTTTGCTGTGAAGACATCTTGGAGACGAATGTGGAATGTTTTCCATAGGTCATTTGGCTCTCGTACTGGAGGTTCTTACCTTGAAGGGATGACTGAAGAAGTGATGCAGGCAGTTCAGCTGCGTAGCGCTGCGGCCTACAAGGGCAGCGGCACACTGACGGGCACGGGAAGCTTCCGCGACAGCGCAAGTTTCGACGGGGCAACAGACAATATTGGCATCCCCGCTACGCCCGTCCATGCCGGGTGAGAACACTTCCATTTTAGTTTCATTCATTTTCATTCATTTTTGAAAATGTAACGGTACATTGCTCTGACTTTCAGGCAACCAGGCTGATAGTGAAGGTCAAAATTACAGTATACAAGTATAACATGCCTGTATTAGATACACATGTAGTTATAGTTTCCAATAGATTAAACATAATAAAATACACAGTCACATAATGAAAAGACTTAGTATACTAGTAAATGTTAAGGAAAATTCAAGAATCACATAACATAGGTCATGTTAGGGAGAAGCTGCTCACTTGGCTTCTGTTTCAACAGTTTCTTGGTGAGTTTCATGGTTGATGCCCGTGGCGGCGCCATGCGTGGTTGTCGCCAGCCCGGATTCCGCATCATCATTCCGCCACGCAAGGCCACGCAACCCACCCGCATCACGTGCCGGCTGGTGAAGCGCCACCGCCTGCAGACCCCGCCGCCCCTCATGGAGGGGGAGGCCCTGGCCAGTCGCGTCCTGGAGATCGGACCCGCAGGGACACAGTTTTTAGGGTATGTCTTATGCTACAGTTCTTAGTCTTCTAGTTTAGTTCTTAATGTTTTATGCTACAGTTTTGTCCCCTGCAGTTTTTAGGTTATGTTTTATGCTACAGTTTTGTGCAAAGTGACATACATTTATCTGATGTGCTTTTAAGGAACTGTTTCATTATGTGTTATGTCCACCCAGGATTTTAGTTTAGCATAAGCTGCTGTCTTTCAGAATTGCTTCTACTTCTATATAGCTAATCAGTTTGATGGTCCCCTTTCCTTCAGTATTACTGTATATGTACATGTTATCAACATGAAAGGTTTCAAATAGACTTGTTAGATTGAAAGCTCATGTAGCATTATACCATGCATAGTTCTCAGAGGCCAGCTGTTCATGTTCTCCCAGTGTTTCTGTCTTTACGTTACTGTCCATTATTCACATACTATTGTATCAGTGCCGACTGTGCTTGCCATGTCTTCTTTGTTCTCTCTGTGGCCTTAATGAAAAATGCTGTTAACCTGGAAGTCAATGTGGGGAAAGTAAAAGACTTAAGAGTTAACGACTATCATGAATTCATAGAATTAAAGAGGTAAAAGGTGTCCGTAGCATGTAAAAAATGTATCTACTGATTAGTATTTTATGGTTAGTCTAAGTATGCATGTCTGTCTTCTTTTATTGCATGAGTTTGACTTTTAAAAAGCTCCTAACCTACATATTCCTCAACTAGAGCGATCGTCTTGGCAGCCTCTTGAGACTTGACAATGTGTGAAATGTAACTTGTATAGTAGTACACGTTATTAGACTCTCAAAAATTTCTTGTCCAAAATAATTTAAAGTTCTAAGGACATGAATTCTCTAGTTTCTAGAAATTTTTGCAGAAATTGAAATGAATTTCAGAATCTGCTAACGAAATCTCCAAAAGCTGCAGTGAAGAAGGGAAATGACAAATAGTTCCTGTGTTGTGGCCACATCTGACCCTTGTTCACAGTCACCCATCTTTTTCTGTTCATGCTGCCTGGATTCTTCGTCCAAACCCCTCCCACATCACCATCTCCCCACCCCCAGTAAACGGCACATGCCACCAAATCCTCCCCCCTTGGGGGAAGGGGAGCATCTGTCGAGTCCCATTGTCCAGTTAGGACCTGCGGGAACCAAGTTTCAGGGGTATGCACATTCCAAACTCAAGCTGAGCCACACCAGATCCACTTCCTCTCGCTTTGTCACTCTCTCTCTGCGGCTGTTCGGGAAGATGTTAAAAACCACTTGGTCAGGCAGGGAGGCGGTTATGTGTTCACACTCTGCCTTCCACCCTGACTGACACTAGTGACAGTACAACTTCTTGTAACAGTCCTCTCTCATCCTCGCTTCTTCAGATAGAGCACACCATGCAAATGTATTGTGTTGTCAAGCAGTGGTTATTACTTTGTACATTTGTACCTGTGGTGACATAATAACTAGCATTGTTGTGTTTATAGATTGAAGGTTCTGTCTCTCCTCCGGGAGATAGGAGATGCTCACATAGTTTTGCATGGCACCAATGGAAGAGATGTCCCTGCTACATGATGTGCTGAAGCTTCAGTTTGTGACAAAACGTAACATGCCGAGTTCTGTGTTCCACAGACCTGTAATCATTGAGCTGCCCCACTTCGCCTCCTTGCGTGGACGCGAGCGCGAGATCGTGGTGCTGCGAAGTGACTCTGGAGAGAACTGGCGAGAGCATACCCTAGAGGCAACTGAGGAAGCCATCAAAGAGGCCCTGGATGGGGGCATGGAGGGGGAGGGTAAGCCTAACCCTTTCATTTCGAGTGCAGGTACGGAAATCAATTGATTCTAATTACGAACGATCCTGCTTGTCCCAGGCTGCTGGCACCGCGCCTTCAACACTTTGGTATTTCTTTTCGTGAGTGGTGAACATTTTATTTCTCTGTCTCTTTCTTGAAGTAAACATGCGATGTAACGTCTCCATTGTACTTGTAAACGTAATTGTGACAGGTCTCAGTGATGATTGTGATTGTGTGTTGTTTTTATGGCGTGATTTAACTCTTCACCTCTGTCTGCTCTGTCTGTTCTGCTCCGTCCTCTCATAGATTCAAAAGGTACCTTCCAAACTTCCATCTTACTAACTGTATAATGCATTCCGCCTCACTGTGATTAATAACTTTCATTCCAGGGTTGGACAAGTTTTCAAAAATCCACTTGCCCTATTGGGCAAGTACATGGTCATTCCCACTTGCCCGAACCAACTTTTCACTTGCCCAAAATATACATGACATTTTTATGCATTTTTACTACCAGCAAGGAAATTATTTCATTTCAGAGTTTATAATGCTACATGCTTAAGACTTGCAATGGATTTTCTGACAAAAGGGCATTAATATAATATCAATATGGCAAAATGATGAGTAATTTTGCTCCAAACACCATAGAGGCTATACTTGGCATCGAAAAATTTACTTGCCCAATCGGGCAAGTACAGAGGGATATTCACTTGCCCGAACAGTACTTTTACTTGCCCTGGGCAAGTGGGCAATAGGACTTGTCCAACCCTGCATTCCCGCCTCACTAATCAGAACAATGCTGTTAATTGATTGCAATGATTAATGCAGATCACATGCATAATTTACGATCTCAAACACATGATAAGTCATTCTCATGGCAACAATAGTTTTGCATGATCATTGTTAACTTTCATCAGGTAATACTTAATAATTTTCATAAATTAGCATCACCAAGTGGTATGGCATTGTTTGATAACGTACCATACTACATACATGAACTAACTTGAGGAACAGTCATTCAGACAGCATATTGTAGTTGCTTGTACTTATCACTTTTAGGTGAAATACTGTAGCTTGATTCTAGTGATCTGGCTTGAATGCCATAACACTTGCACATATGCTTTCTAATACACAAAATCCATAACAATAATGTAATCTGAAGATATTTATGCAGTACAGTGTGGAAAATAGCTTTCTCCCCAGACCTTACTTTGCTGGCTTTCCTACAGAAATCGAGAGCACAGAGGAGCTGCAACAGAAGCGCATTGTGCGCATCCTCACCACCGACTTCCCCCAGTACTTCGCTGTGGTGACACGTGTCCGTATGGAGACCAAGATGGTGGGACCGGAGGGCGGGATGCTGAGTTCCTCCGTGGTTCCACAGGTCCAGGCAGTGTTTCCTGAGGGAGCACTGACCAAGAAGATCAGGGTGGGCCTACAGGTGAGATGTCGATCCTTCTTTTTGAGGAAAAATTGTTTAAATCAGTTAAATGTTTGGTACCTACATTGTTTAATACTATGTTTACCTTCGCAGAAGGAAAATGTATTGTTTTCCTCCATGTCTTCTTCCTGCTCTTCTTCCATTCCAAACAAATAAAATCAATGACCTGGACCAGACAGCCGTCACCATAGTAACTGGTGATGTAGCAGACACCCTGACTGGTGATGTAGCAAGTGGCAGGACAGAGTTGGAGGAGCTGGTCACCTTATATAATGGATTTGTTTAAGAAAGAACAGAGCAGTAAATTGTTGTTTAGGGCTAGATCATGTGATGGTAAACATTGTATAATTGCATAATGTTAGCTTTATAGTGTGACATGTTTTTCATAATGATAGCCAAAGACACTGACACAACTTTCTCTTGTCAGGCCCAGCCAGTGAAACCAGAGCTGGTGAAGAAGATGTATGGGAACAGAGTCTTGGTTAGCCCCATTGTCACCGTGGAGCCAAGACGCCGCAAGTTCCACAAGCCCATCACCATGACGATACCCCTCCCTTCTGCAGCAGCTCACGGCATCGTGAATGGCTACGGGGGAGGGGACACGCCAACCTTGAGACTGCTCTGTAGCATAACAGGTGGGTGGGAACAGCTAGATGAGACCATCTTGTTCAAGTATCTCCAGCAGTGACTGATAAAACCATGTACTACATGAACATAACTTTAAAGTGACACTCTTGTTCCCTTGAGAGACAATATATTGTGACTGTTGCACATATCAGGCTACTTGATTTACACAACATTGAGGTTGCCATGTATGATTTACTTGTGTAGAATTTGTAATACATTTCACCAATGATATTAAGTTCTGTGCACTGCACCCTGGTGCAAACTGACCATACAGTCCTCATTCCCCAGATATTATTGAACCACCTGACACATTGTGGAATTTTGTGTACTATATAAAGTTATATATCATATTGTTCTACAGTGAAAGACAAGCATATGTGTATTTTTCTCCAAAACTAAAGGCAAAATTCTAACATGATGATGCTAACCTGAGTTTGCAAAAAAGACAGCTACGATTTACTGCAGTAACAGTTTTTCTAACGAAGACTTCACAACCCTACTTGTTTTTATTTTTTTTATTATTCTCTTTCTTTGTTGATTGTATGACTGATTGCATGTTCTGTTCGGAGGAATTTCATGCTATGTTGGTTCTCCGTAGAGGGAAGACAGCAGCCCTATGGCGGTTCGCAAGGTACTTTTGAAGCTTACAGCAAACGCTCTCAACAGGCTTAGGACATGTTCTACAGCTCACAGTTGACTTTGAGCTGGACAACATTGCCTTGCTTGTTGAGAGACGCCCGTGTCGATTGCAATACTTCTGTTGGAAACATGCCGCTAATCTTGCCATGCACAACCCCTGCTATATTAACGTGGTCACGCTTGTCTGCTGTAGGTTTTTGTCCCATCATCCTCAACACTTCCTTTTTTGTAGTACAGTATATGCACATGCATGCTCTACTTTCTGAGTATGCTGTCATTCCTATATTCTTCCTTCTTAATCATCATCATACCATGCCATCTGCACTATATCATGTATAGTTGTGTATTCAAGACATAACTGAAAGTGAAATATATATGAAGATATTACTGTTGGGTTTTATTCCAGGAAGACATACAGGCAAAACCAGGAGAACTAACATCTCACACTAATCAATCATTATTACAAAATTTCATGACTGGCAGAAACACATAAAATCTAAATCCATTTCTTCTTGCAGAATTTGTCATATTGACTGATCCATTTGTGTATCCTACGCATTTGTGTCTAGAGACATGAGTACTAGTGTCTAGCATTAAGACTATTTTCAAAAAGTTACTCATTCAGTGATATGACCAGTCCTGTTATGTAGTGTATCTGTGGACAGTAGCAATCAAGAATGTTGTTTACATTGGACAGACTGGACTATGAGGGGGTTGGTTTCATCATTGCAATTTCATTTTCTAGAAAGGCACAGCATAGGGAATCTTTGGTTGAACCTTCTCAGTGCAGTAACTGTTTGACAGTGTGCACAAGTAAATGAAAACAAGCTTCTAACACAATATAAAGTATTGAGGTCCATAAGCAAAAACTGTTCCAATCACTTTATTTGGGATAGATGAGGGGAATGTTTATGACCTTAAGACTTGAAGTGTGGACCGTAATTTATTAGTATTTGCAAAATTGTCCTATGGTTGTAACAATGACAAAGACAAAAGAATCCAACAACATAACTTATGAAAACTCCTTCTATTTTCACATGGCAGGTGGTCCCAACCCAGCTCAGTGGGAAGACATCACTGGCAGCACCCCGCTCACGTTTGTGAATGACTGTGTCTCCTTCACCACCACTGTGTCAGCCAGGTAACAAACAGCCCTTCTTGTAATCTAGCATTTTAATGATCAAGAAGGTATTTTAACTGCAATGGGGAACAAACCATGATGATTTTAACAGCAATTAACTGAAAATATAGTTGTGTTTGTTCGGTCTTGGCCCCATCCTTATTAGTTTATGCTAGCTCATATTGTGCTTCCTTTTGGATGGGGACGTAAAGCCAGAGGCCCTGCATATGAGGCAGCTTATGGCATCAAGCTTCTGTACGTAAAAGAATCCAACAAACTTAATTGGGAAGAGTAGGGGTGAACCAGTGTGCTTGGCTACAAATGCAAGCCTTAGCGAAGCTACATTGCACAGGTAGGTAACAAAAAAGTGTCATGCTTTGACCTCAGTCTAAGGCCCTTAGTCTGAGGCCGCCCACTGTATCTTACCCTATTTCTTAATAGTCAATACTAGAAGTAACTTTTTATCTCACATGTCTGCATTGTTTGTCTGTAGGTTCTGGCTGATGGACTGTCGCCAGATCAACGAGTCGGTGAACTACGCCACCCAGCTGTACCGAGAAGTCATCGCTGTGCCCTTCATGGCAAAGTTCGTGGTGTTTGCCAAGACACAAGACCCGGTGGAGGCCAGGCTGAGAGTGTTCTGTATGACAGACGACAAGTACGACAAGACGCTGGAGAAGCAGGAGCATTTCACAGAGATTGCGAGGAGTCGAGACGTAGAGGTAAGACTCCTGCTTTCTTCCCTAAACTTAAGTCATCAAACTGTTGATCAGAGGACTGACGACAATCTGTTCAAACAAGGGAGAAGAGGTGATGAAAGTAACCATTTTTCAACATTGATAACTGAGTATTGACTACGGTTCAATTGTTCAAAATTACAAAGATAATGAAAATCTCAATGCATCACAGATAAGGCAAAAAAAACATGTATGACATCAATACATTTTAAATTGTCAAATTCTGCATAGATTTTTTGGCCTTAATCAGTTTCATTCAAACATTTGTCTGACAAGCATTGTCGCCTACCTCTGATGTGATGAGTTGATGTTGTTTGTTAGTTTGTGTGTATACAATATGCCCTGAAAATAAGATAATCAGCCAGTTAGGTTATAAAACTTATTGAAGATGATGCATGAAGTCTCCTTTTTTCATAAGTCCAAAATCTGCAAAGATGTCCCTAAACCTCTTAGTCTGTATAAATTTCTTACTAATAACACAACAACTTGTCAGATGTATAATTGAAGTTTTAAGACTTAGTGATTTGTGGACATCTGGGTGATTTTCAGACAAAAGAACCTTAAGCTAGGAGGCCCCATTTTGTTTCTTAAGTCATGCATGACAAAAGAGATTTTCTGTACTTTTATTTCTAGTAGAATAATTTTGATGACTATGTTGGATTTAGTTGAAGTTTCTTTTGGCACACTCTATAGTGTGTCCACATATCACAATTACACAGTTTTCTTCATAGTCTGGTGGCAGAGACCGATAAGCGTGCAATGCGGTCCATACAAAGTTTTTTTGTTGTTTCTATATCTCTGAGGTGTGCTCTTTCAGAATCTGAATGATGCCACTCTGTCATCCTTGGGCAATTCGCACAATATGCAAATTAAGGCGGCCATTACTGAAACTCCAGTTTTCGTCAATATCTCAGTAACTACTCATGGTATCAGAATAATTTTGGTGTCTATCCCCATCTTTTGAGGGATAACGAATTAAATTAAGCCATTTCAGTAAAGATAGAACCATTATCTTTTGCTAAATATGCAAATTTGGGCCGCGCAATATGCAAATTAGGGCGGCCATTACTGAAAATCTGTTTTCCGTCAATATCTCAGGAACTACTCATGGTATCAGAATAATTTTGGTGTCTATCCCCATGTTTTGAGGGATAACGAATGGAATTAAGCCATTTCAGTAAAGATCAAACCAGTTTTTTTGTGCTGAATATGCAAATTAAAGCCGCACTTTAGGCAAATCAAGGTGGCCATTACTGAAAATCTGTTTTCCGTCAATATCTCAGTAACTACATATGATATTATAATATCTTTGGTGTCTTTCCCCATGTTTTTTGGAATAACTATTGAGGATAGGCCATTTCAGTGGAGATCAAATAGATATTTTTGTGCTTAATTTGAAAATTTAGGCCGCCATTACTGAAAATCTGTTTTTTCGTCAATATCTCAATAAATCTCATGGTATCAACAATACTTTTGATACAATACACATACATTTGTACTATACACATGTTTTGAGGCTAGATATTTAGAATAAACCATCCCAGTATTGATCACACCAAAATTTAATGCAAATTATGCAAAAACTAACCAGTATACAGCATGGGCGCCTGTACCTCTGAACACTGATAGGAATGTTAATAAATGATACAATCTGTTCAAAAAAATATTAGACCCTTCATAAGCTCACACCTGTGCCTTACCAGCGTCTGTGTACAGGCAGAATAAAGCGCTAACTTGACGTCCTGAATTTTATGTCAGCGTGGCCAGCGTAGAACTTAAGTTGAATTCTTCTTGAGTCCCGGACAGGCCAAAGAAAATAGCCCGGTAGCCGCGGGGTGTCCCACGGCTGAAAGTGTCAAAACAGCCCGGGAACTACCCGCCAGGGACTTCTTTTTTTACAATTGGGACAAAAGCTTAACAGATCTCCAGGAAGATGACCGGCGGCCGCTCAAAAGTGCACAGTCCTAATTAAGGCGGAGGATGGGACCCTACCACTGTCTTAGGGGGAGGACAAGCTTGTCAGGTGGGCAGAATACTTTTCAAAAAGTCTTAAACCGCTCAAGCCATACCTCAGTAGCATTAGTCTTTGATGAACACCTACACCCATTACCTGTTGAGATCGAGGACATCTCTGAAGCTGAAGTCAGTCACCAGGCATGAATGGCATCACTTCAGAGATGCTGAAAGCCGAGGGTGACTGTGTTGTGAGATGGATGCTTTTCTGATCGCCGTACATCGCAAACGCTTTAATAGAACCATAGCCGTCTTCCCTAGTACGCCTTCCCTGGAATAAAGCTGGCATTCAACGGCGATCACAGGGAAGTGCTGGAGGACTGGAAGAACGGATCAGTAGT